GGCCTTCTTAGCTCCTACGCCGCTCTCGCCTTCTCACTTTTCTCTCTTTTGACTGCTGTGCTCCTCTTCCTTCCCCCGGTAGCACGAACTTTCAGTCGGCTGAAAATTTGTCGCCCCTGCGAGCTTACGTAAATTCGGGATATTTCTTTATTATTCCTTCGAGAGCCGATTTCATCGAATTAACAACGTTGACATTTCGGTCACTGGGTTTCGATTTCATGATCACCTTTTGCGTAAGGCGATAACCGGTTATGGCTAGGATTTTTTCACTCCTATTTCCAATTTCTTAATGGTCTATGAGATCTTTTCAATCTTACGAGTTGTAAATTTCAGTTTAAAGCTTTTCAAGCGCAATATGATAGCTGTAACGAATCAAAGTGAAGCGTATTAAGTGTATTTATTATAAACACTACACGACTTATCGTTTTATTTTATTTTAAATCTATTAGAAATCGCTACTTTAATATTTACTTTTGTTGTTGTTGTTTTCTTCGGGGTTTTTTTTTTTTTTTTTTTTTTTTTTTTTTTTTTTTTAATAAGCGTATGTTGTAGTGCTGAAATTTAGATTTAGAATTATATGAAACTATACTGTACTTCAGACACATTTAATGTTTAACCATTAGTATGAATAATTTCATATTATATTTTATTGCACAGGTTATGAACCATTTGAATTACGAATAGTTTGCTCAAGTAACATATTTGTCTTTCTTTATAATATTGTATAAGGTTACAAAACAAATCTTGTTTTAAATTTTTATATATTTATTATTTAAAGTTTGGAATTATTTAATTTTCTTGTAGTAATTAATATTAAACATTAGAATTAGTCCATTCGAAAATGCATAGGGAATACAATCATAAATTTGTTACTTTGTAGATTGTTTTTCTTATATTTGTATTTTCATAATAATATACGAAATTTCGTTTCTATGGATTTGAAGTAATTAAATTAATTTAAGTTTCTTCCAAGTTATCATTACAGTATGGAGTTCTTTTTTTAGAAAAGTCGTTGGTTTCGATTGGTATACAATTTTCTGTTAAGTTTCTTCATTATATTGTATTTTTATTTAGAGATGAATAAAAGTTCTCTAAGTAATGAGGGATAATATGTGTTATGGTATAAGTTCTGTATAAACATTTAAAGAAATTTCTATTACAATTACTAAATGCTTGTGTTTACTTTGCTAATATTGTAATAAATAAAAAAAATTCATTAGAAAACTAATCTTTGCCTCATGATTTTACTTTTTTTATCATAGCTATGTGTTATGTTATA